TCCTTGAAACTACGCCGCACGATAATTAATAGAGGCCTCGCTCCTTGAAGCTATGATGCGTGCGAGCCAATGGGAGCCTATCCATCAGATTTCTGCTACAGACGACAGGCTTCGCGCCATCGGGACATGGGAAGGTGCCGTTCGGCGCAGATTCAAACGCTGATAAAGTCGGTTCGCTCAAGTGCCAAAAAATAAGCTACGCTTCAGAGTAACGACACTTGGCCATATTGTGTCTTATAATTATGGGTGCTAGTTATCTGAAGCTTTATCTGAAATCACAGGAAACGTTTTTCCGCCCTCCACAAATGTTTAAAGAGTCCGCGACAGAGCAAATCAATATTACATTAGCTTCCTAACACCGAGTCTAATGCTGAGCAAGTCCCACTTTTGAACCATGACGATCGGCAGTTGCGTCTGCCCTGCATATGAGCCAAAATGGCGGCGCCCACAACTAGAGTGCCTTCATACACACGCGCGCTTTTGCTTGAGTGGTGACATCTCAGCCATTTTTCCGCCCAATCGTTTTTTTATGCATTTCGAAGTGCGCGCAATCCGGTGTCACTCAGCTCGAGCGCGTAGCTTTGGCTAATGCATAGACGCCATTTTACCACCCAAGTCACGCACCGAGTGCGTGAGAGCGTCACGCGCTGGCACATTCTGGGCAACAATGGATGTCTTCACCCTGAGACAGACAGACATGTAGGCACCCTACCCACAACAATGTCGGGGAACGGAGTACCGATACTCTAAGCGCAACGTATTTATGACTCTTCGCTCCATGCAACAGTTAATGCTTTCGCATTAAAAAGAAACTTCATATAAGGGTTTAACGCAGACAGCTGACTTTCTCCGGCACGTTATATTTTAATAAGACTTATGCGAAAGGCATGTTTTAATTTTACGCCCGCTGGGTTTAAACTATACTCTGTTTCGCCTTACGTTGTACTGCAGCGTAGACTAGAAGCGCGAGCTCATAGCATTTGCAGCTGCCCTTAATGCGCGAGAGCATGTGACGACGAGATGTGCCCTGAGCAAGGAGCTCGCGCTTGTATGCTATTTCTGCGGTACTTACATCATAAGGTGAAACAGAGTATACCGACGTACAAGTGAGCATCAGTGGCAAGATGCGTTATCGGCTTGATAGCCTTTAGAACTGTTGTTACCACTTCAAAGGTGTTTGTCCTATGCAATGACAATCCTAGCCTACTAAGTTACGGGTTTTAGTTGAGCTAGTTGGTACATACTGTTGGCAATCTGGTCAGCTGAACACGGAAAAACAAGAACACGAAGGAAAGGACTGGACAATCACACCGCTGACTGACAACTGACTCTCTGCATCACATCCACCCCAGGTAGCACACACTTGCTTGGTTTAGCTGGGGCCAGGATTGGCCCTTAGTTGTGATAGCTTGGCCACGACTGGCCAGCCATTTAAGTCTGTATGCCAGCGTGGCGTTTCACAGTCTTTCCTTGCTCCAGAAAGCCATGGAACTGCCAGGGAACGTCTTCCCTGGTTGACCAATGACTTTCCTTGGTCATTGATGGCCAGTGTAAACAGGCCGCTGCCAGTATTTGATGTACCCTGGCTGTCTATTGATTTTCCTCGGTCAGAGATGGCCAGGGTAGCAATGACTCTGCCAAGCTTTGAGGTTCCATGGTGGTTCGCAGGAATTCCCTGGTCCGCTCAACACAAGCAACAGCCAATATTCGGGCATGTTGCCAGATCGAAGATAGGGTGAGCCAAGGAATGTCTGGGATTTGCCGCTATGCAATGTTCCGTGGCTCAAGCTCGTGTTTTATCGGACCCAGAATGTCCGCTGAAAGCCACTGTTACTCTATAGTTCGTTTAACTTTTTCATCTTTTTTTTTTTAAATTCGTATGAGCGTTGTCTTAACATTGTTTTGGTGCTTTGTGGCACGAGCCCTCGCACTAGAAATCGACATTGGAGTGCAAAAAGTCTGTTTTAGCTAGAGACATAAAAAATAACACGTTTTCCCCATTGAAAAAGAAAAAAACAAAAACTACTTTAAAACAGTTTGGATATGAACAGGCCAAACCCGAAATGAACTGGTTGTAGTGGAATTGTTCCGGACAAATTGGACATCAAACTGTCGAAATTGGTCAAACTCGAACTTTATAACTATCCCGCTTTTTACCGCGGCCTTTATCTAATCTGGCTTGCACGGAGAAGCCGCTTCCAGCGCAAGTGTCCGAGGCGGCGAGCCTCCCACGTGATGTTGGAAAAGCGCGGGAAATATTCCGCACCCCAGATGAATCACACGCCTGGAATGCGCCAGTGCCCCGGGACCGGAGATGATGCAGTGTCCCCGCGCGCAGCGCAGATGCCTTGAAAGAGGAGAGCTGCTCACGTGCAAGGACTTGGAGCGCGCGGGCCCATCAGCGCGGCCCTCGCGTCCGCTCGAAGCGCCAGTTTTGAGACGGCGGCGGCGCAATTCCGAAACCCCCCCCCCCCCCCCCCAAAAAAAAAAAAAAAAAAACACACACACAAAAACAAACGATTTGCGCGAACTTGGGTTGCTTGGGTCTTTGTTCGACGCTGCTGTCCTGCTTGGGGAGGTTACAAGTTGCTGTGTTTGAATAAGATAGTTTGCCGGTGCCTTGAGTGCTGCCTCTGCCGATGGTTCCTGTGGCTGATGACGTCGTCCGCCTGAGTTCCACTCGCTCGTGGGCGAAATGGCTGCATCCCAAAACGGCGTGTTGGGAATCCGCTCCGTCCTCATTGCAGCGCGGGCAATGGCTGTCTCTGTCTCGGCGCCAGCGAGCCAGGTAAGCAGGCTCGACCATTTGGATTCATTTTCATAATCAGGATCATGTGAAAATGAACCTTTTTGCAACCCAATTTGGAACAGCTATGCTAGTAATACAACCGCCAGTGTATACATTGAGCTTCAGAGATCCTCTAGCGCAATGGTTAACAACTGTGGTAGAGGATCCATCTGTTGTTGCCCCCTTCCTGCCTTCCCAGTCTGTCGTCCGCTATGCAACGTAAAGGCTGAACCGCACGTAAGCGATTAAGCGAGCGAGGAGAGTCAGCGACGAGCGGCGGAGATTTCCCACGGTCACTTGTCGCATCGCTCGGGTTTTTGGATTTCTAAAAATCGTCGCTCATCGCCTTGGTCGCTTGCTCCGGTCGGTTTCATCCGGTTTGCCGCGTCGCGCGAGTGACCGAACGACTGTGAAGCGGATCGTCGTCGCTTGTCTCGTGGCTCGTCAAATCGCTTACATGCCGTTTCTACTTAACTGCCGCGAGACTGGCACCACATGTACGATTGGCACACGCTTCCATATTCCCTATCATACTGTTTATGATTGTGCATATTTTAATTCGTGGCATTAGTTACATACCGTTTTAGAACAGACGGGTGCAAATAAATCTGCCACAGTTCTAATTACTGATGTTCATTCCTTTTTCAGATGCCTTGGGGTACTATGTTAGCCACCACCGGAACCCCGACACTCCAGAAGATGTGGAGAATCTCGCCAACCGCCTGGGACACTTGAATGAAATCATGCCATTTTTTTTGCATTGTACATATGTTTTTATGTCTATTTTTGCGGCCTGCAGTATGTATTTTTTTCGTGGAAATAATTTTAATTTTATTAATTTACTACGTGTGTTGTCAATATGACCAGTAGAACTGGTTTAACTGCATCGTGAATTTCTATTGTCTAGCCAAGCTTGGCTGACCACCCGGCCACTAACCTGGCCGATGCTGTACATACAATAAAGAGCCAAGCTTGGGGTACCACTGAGCTTCCCGCCTAGCCCAGGCCATAATTCCAGTGGTGAGCCAGTCCATGGCTACACAGGGAACTGCCGGTGGTCGCCGGAGTGGCATACCAGGATGGGGCTGCCTAGCGCCATGATGCGAAGCAATCTAGGCCCATTGAAACTTCCCCGGCTACCCAGTCAGGCTCAAGCTTGAGCCGGTCGTAATGTGCTGCTTGGGACAGGTCCGGCAATGAGCTGACACAGCCCATAGAACACGCCATGCCCAATGCGAAACGTGGGTCGTCTATCATATTCCCCTCTCTTGCTGGAAGAGCTACATCGGCAAAACTGGCCGATTTATGAATGACAGAGCAAGGAAGCACGCAGCGTCGCTGAAAACTACACCAGCGGGACACTTGTCAGCTCATTGCCGGACCTGTGGATGTGATGCAGAGCTCACCAGCATAACTGCCCTTCATAGGAACAAAAACTCCTTCGCGCATGAAGGGCTGGAGGTCTTGGCCATTGAAGAAAACGGAGACGATTGCGTCAACACCTCGTCAATTACGGTCCACAAAAAAGAACGCCAATATTTGCGGTTTGCCACACACCGTTAAGTGGTAGGCTAAAATGTTCTTTTAAACGTGTTTTATTTGCCGTAGGATGAAGAAGAAATGGCGTAGGCTGGGATGAGGAAAAAGTAAAAGTCAGATGTTAGTCAGCCATGTGGCTGTGTAGTCCTTTCGTTCGTGTTCTTGTTTTTCCGTGTTCAGCTGACCTGATTGCCAATCACCTACTAAGGTGAAGTCAGTCAAATATGGCCTAATTGCTTGCGAATTATGTGTTCATTTAGAAATGCACACTTTATATATTTTACTGCCATTTAGGAAAGTACGCAAAATTTAGACAGGGAGGAAAGTCTTCCTTAATTTCGCATGTCACGGAGGTTGACATCGCCATATAAACGTCAGATAAGACAGCAGCGAATAAAAATTCGTGAATTCTGTTTTGTAATTTCTGTTTTATGGAAACTTTAGTTAACACTCATTAATATGTGTAAACTATATAGAATACATGCATGTCTCGTTAATACGGACTCCGTTAATATAGATAGCCCGTTGTCTAAAAAACGTTTTTAGGGATGAACTGGGTAAATACACTCATATATGTCCGGTTATTCTGGACATTATTCAATATAGATTCATATATGTCTGGTGGACTCAAATTCTGGATGAATTTATTGTCAAGCCACGTGTCGTTATTAACAAGCCATCACTGTATTAGCAGCTACGGGGAAGTCTTGTGGTAGTCGTATAAACTGGATAATCATCATCATCATCATCATCTGGTGGAGGTTCTTTTGGCGTCTTTCCAGGTTCGGGCGCCTCTGTAGAAGGTTTCGTGGTGTCCTGGGTCGTATTCTTGCAGCTGTTGTTATACACTTGATTCTTAAAGTCGTCAGTTTTTCCGCAAGCATTCTTATATATAGATTCACACTGTCTAGGTACAGACTGACTAACGCACTTGTCATGAAGGTAGAGCTCACAAGCGGCTCCTAGAATGAAAAACAAAATTAAACATCAGCACATTCTTCTGATTGGTGCAGCTGCGAAAGAATGCAATATTTAATATTTACTAGCAAACACGTGTTAACATTACTTATTTGTGTTGTTTGACCAGTTCAAGGTCAGAAAATATTGCATACCACTGAAAGAGGGCACACTGAGACGATACGTTGTATAAGAATACAAATCACATCGTCCAAGTAGAAAGCGCAGTACCGATATAAATTGCTTCGTTTGCAAAGGTGGTAAATAAATATATTACTGCAATATATTATGATATGTGGTCTCTTGAATTGATTCCTTCGATATTCATGGTACGCATAATATGTTGAATGCCTATTCCGTAAGCTAATCTATGTTTAAGGTTAAGAGAGTTACCGCATCGAAACTAACCATATAGAAGACACCAACGCCTCATACTTACTAAACCGGATAATAACATTCAATTCGTTATAACCTCACTTTTTTAACAATGAATGGGCGTGGTGAAGCAACGCTTATTCAACGATGCGCACGAAATATGCCGAGTTACCAGCCCTATACTGTTCTTTCCATCTCCATGTCGTGTCTTGAAACTAAATCAAGCTGAATAAATGGGGAATGCTTAATTGGATGCAATGAGTGTGACGCATTTGTTCTTTGTTCCAAACTTCGTATTTTATATTTGGTGGGGTTAAGCGCACAAATAAACAACAACGCTTCTTATCTAAAAGTTTAAAGCAGCTGTGCAACGATATTTAATTGGAATGTTTTTCGCTTGACACGAGCTTACTGGCACACCTGGGACTCAAGGATACTAACACGCAACGCCACTGGCCAATAAACTCCTTTGTTGCGGTGTAATTTCAAGGACAAAAGCGATCATTTTCATTCAATCTCTACTTTGCAAAATTTGATGACGTAACGTGGGGATCGCAGTACACCCAAGTGACAATATTTGAATGCGGTTCATAGATTGGACCCGAGCATTGCGTGGGCACTCGACTTCGGCTCGTGACAATTGCTAGCTCGAGAAGCATTCGGGTAGTGACCCGTGTCCAATCGCTGCAACGACGACAACAGCCGAGCCATAACAATGTCTGGAACTCAGCGCGTGTCCTGCGCTTTGCCAACCCCAGCGCGGGGCTGTGATCAACACTGGCGGCATATAATCGGCTCCAGATCACGTGGCCGCTTGTTCTGGCTGCGAGTTGAGGGGGTGAACGCTACTCGATTTTCTTTAATTTTTTTTTCTGGGACTTCGATTGCGTGGCGTGAAAAACGAACGCGTGTTTCATAGGTCATTAACGTTAGGGATCTGTTTTAAACGGTATAAAAATTCAAAAGCGCAAACACCAAGGAAAACTACCCGAGTGCTTCTTCTTTTCCTTGGTGTTTGCGCTTTTGAATTTTTATACAATGTGTAGCCAACTAGCCCAACAGTTAATTTTGATTTAAACGGTATTTGCGCAAAGTACCAAAAGTGTTGCATCGCTCCTTTAAAGGGGCCATGCAACAATTTTTGTACTTTGCGCCAATACCGCTTAGAACAGATCCCTGACGTTAATGACCTATGAAACACGCGTTCGTTTTTCACTTCACGCAATAGAAGTCCCAGAAAAAAATTAAAGAAAAAGTAAAAGCCGCTTACAACTCCCTGTAACGCCGAATTAGAGCGCAGCTCTTGAGGAGGAGGAGGGAAGGGCACTGGGGGGGTTAAACTTACCAGGGGGGTCACGTGACCTTGGGGGTCACGTGACCCCTAATGCCGATGATGTCATCACTGACGTCACTGATGACGTCATCAGTGACGATGACGATGCGGGTACCGATGACGTCATTAGTGACGTCACTGATGACTTCACCAGTGATGACGACGATGCGAATGTCGGTGACGTCAGTGACGTCGCTGATGACGTCATCAGTAATGATGACGATGACGATGTGGATGCCGGTGACGACATCAGTGACGTCACTGATGACGTCATCAGTGATGATGACGATGACGATGGGGATGTCGGTAACGTCATCAGTGATGATGACGATGACGATGCGGATGCCCGTGACGTCATCAGTGTTGATGACGATGACGATGTGGATGCCGGTGACGTCATCAGTGATGATGACGATGTGGATGCCGGTGACGTCATCAGTGATGATGACGATGACGATGTGGATGCCGGTGACGTCATCAGTGACGATGACGTCATCGGGGGGTCACGCGACATCGGCGGGGGTCACGTGACCTTGGGGGGTCACGTGACCTCGAGGAGGGGGTCACGTGACCTCAGGGGAGTCACGTGACTTCGAGGGGTCACGTGACCTCTGGGGGTCACGTGCTCCCACGAGGTCACGTGACCCCGGTGGGGGGCTCGCGCGGTGCATTATGGGACATTTCCCATGATGCACCGCGCGGTTACGCCGACGCCGACGGCGACGCCGACGCCGCTCAAGCCGGAAACGGGCCCCTAACCCCTCATTCACACTGAAAGCGGATCCGCGTTCGCAAAGCGGTTGCGAACGCGGTTGTATAAAGATCCAGTACAATTGCACGCGCACTCGGTGACATCAAGTGCGCGTGCAATTGTACTGGATCTTTATACAACCGCGTTCGCAACCGCTTTGCGAACGCGGATCCGCTTCCAGTGTGAATGAGCCCTAAGAGCTGCGCTCTAAAACGAGCAGCGTTCACCCCCTCAACTCGCAGCCAGAACAAGCGGCCACGCGATCTGGAGCCGATTATATGCCGCCAATGTTGATCATAGCCACGCGCTGGGGTTGGCAAAGCGCAGGACACGCGCTGAGTTCCAGACATTGTTATGGCTCGGCTATTGTCGTCGTTGCAGCGATTGGACGCGGGCGACTCCCGGAATGCTTCTCGAGCCAGTAATTATCACGAGCCCAAATCGAGTGCCCACGCAGGGCTCGGGTCCAATCTATGAACCGCATTCAAATATCGTCACTTGGGTGATCTGCAATCCCCACGTTACGTCATCAAATTTTGCAAAGGAGAGATTAAACGAAATTAATTGTTTTTGTCCTTGAAATTTCAGCGCAACAAAGGAGTTTCTTGGCCAGTGGCGTTGCGTGCGAGTATCCTTGAGTCCCAGGTGTGCCAGTAAGCTCGTGTAGAGGGAAAAAACATTCCAATTGAATATCGTTGCACCGCTCCTTTACGCACACGCTTAGTTAAAAAAGAAAAAAAAAATCCCAAAGGAGCGTGGAAAGGTGACGGGGATTTGACTCTCGAAGGCCAAAGTATTAGCATCAGATTCTCGTTGTATTTCAAATGCATTGGGAGCTTGTCGTCCACAAGTTAAAATATCATTGTCGATCTCTAGTTTTCATATGGCGTCCTTTAAATTTAACGCTCAATATACCAAAATAAGATGACGGTGAGTCTCGCGAACGTACTAAGCGAACAAATATTATGACCCTACAAACATTCTAGAGGGGCGTTAAGTCTGAAAAAATTTTTATTTCATTCCAGAATTATTGATGCATATGCATGGTCACCATAACTTGTATCATCGTCAATCATGACGCAGACGACAGTCGCCATATATTTACCCCCGGAAATACTGTTTTGTAACATGTTTAAGCCCCGGTACTGTGTTTTCAGAGCCACCCAACTGCATGGTTTGATGAACAGAAAAATATGCGGGATGAAAAAAGAAAAAAAAAGTTGTATTTCTGTGTTTGGTGATCTTTTGCGATTATATAATAAAAGCAGTCTTTTAGATTTAGTAAGTTAATGTCAACAACTTCTAAATAAAAACAAACTTCAAGCTATCAGAAAGAAAGAATATGTTATATATGTAATACGAATTCAAACGTGATAGTTGAAAAATGCAATAAAAATAAATGTTTGGCGCAATATATAACGTTAAGCCGTTTTCGATGCGTTATTGCCCCTTCTATTTACAATTTCGGCCACCAACAATACACCGCTTTAAGTATCATGTTTGACAAGCCTATACATAGGTTTTCTTGAGTATCTCTGTGGTAATAATTTAGGCTTGACACTTATTGAAACTGGGCAATGGTGGGGAGTAGAAAATACCCGCCGTCGGCAGTTGTTGTTTCACGGCATATTTAATACACTAATACCATGGACGCACTACTACGACCTATATAAGGACTAAAGAAGAAATACAAAAATGAAAGCCGTTTACAACTCCCTGTAACGCCGAATTAGAGCGCAGCTCTTGAGGAGGAGTAGGGAAGGGTACTGGGGGGGGGTCAAGTGACCTCGGGGGGCGGGGGGTCACGTGACCTTGGGGGTCACGTGACCTTGTGGGAGTCACGTGACCTTGGGGCGTCACGTGACGTCGGGGGGTCACGTGACGATACCGATGACGTCATCAGTAGCGTCACTGATGACGCCATCAGTGATGATGATGACGATGCGGATGCCGGTGACGTCATCAGTGACGTCACTGATGACGTCATCAGTGACGATGACGATGCGGATGCCGGTGACGTCATCAGTGACGTCACTGATGACGTCATCAGTGGCTATGACGTCAACGGGGGTCACGTGACCTCGGGGGGTATCCCCAGGTCACGTGACCCCAGGGGGGGTCACTTGACCTGGGTAACCATCGTGACCCTCGTGAGGGTAACCCTAGTAACCCTTGTGAGGGCAACTCTCGTGACCCTCGTGAGGGTAACTCTCATGACCCTCGTGAGGGTAACTCTCGTGACCCTCGTGAGGTTAACTCTCATAACCCTCGTGACCCTCGTGAGGGTAACCCTCGTGAAGGTTACCCTCACGAGGGTTACTAACCCTCGTAACCCGCGTGAGGGTTACGAGGGTAAGTAACCCTAGTGAGGGTAACTCTCATAACCCTCGTGACCCTCGTGAGGGTAACCCTCGTGAAGGTTACCCTCACGAGGGTTACTAACCCTCGTAACCCTCAAAAGGGTTACCTTCACGAGGGTTACCCTCACGAGGGTTACTAACCCTCGTAACCCTCGTGAGGGTAACCCTTGTGAAGGTAACCCTTCT